TATACCGGACCGTACCCAGGGTACGTTCCGGCAGTACCTCGGGGAACATAGACCCTCTCAGCGCCAGTGGCATCACTCACTGACTCAGTCACTCAGGGCTCAAGGGCCCATGTCCAGTAATAAAAATCATCCTATATCCTATCACCGTTCTGGACATCATCTCTATCCTTGAACCCTCTCAGAGTCAGTGAGTCACACACTGACGAGTCACTATCTCTCAAGCCTTCCTCATCTTTCTTCAAATTGTTGCTTCGTCATTTAAATGTCTGTCTAAGTGTGACATTCTCAGTTACACACCTAAGTGATGTAGACATGTTTGAATTTCATACCTATGGCTATTCTGTTTGACTATATCATCATAACTATATGGCTAGACCCTTGTGTCATTTTGTCACGAATTTTACCAGTAAGTGCACAGTCACTTGGAACGTCTCAATAAAATAAAAAAAGGTTAATAAACACGAAATGTATTTACTACCAAAGTCTCATGTTTCTCTGCTCAATTTCGTCTATTATTGCTGCTAATTGCCCGTAAATGCCGGTCAAATGCTCATCTGCAACACACAAGTACACGCCCTGTGCACAAACAACATGAATAAGAGAATGACTCAATTTTTTTTTATTGAGACGTTTCAAGTGCCTGTGAGTAAGTGGATGTGGCATATTTACTTAGGTACTATTACTATGGATGCTGGTTTGTTTCAGACCGTGCTTAACATAGATGCTGCCTGGGTTCACATTTGCTTGCAAGTTACACACTCACAGACATGCAGTGGTTCTCTAGTCCGATTCCACAAGCCATTGCGGAGTCGAAGCGGCTGAATCTTCCTTTTCTCGTCTACATTTCAGGTAGCTGTACATAGTAAAAAATTAGGTACATATTCTGGGATGTAAGATAGGTTTTAGTGATTTCGACTGAGTGGAAAGATAACTATAGATAAGTAGGTGCTGTAACGATGTGTGTGTGGGAAGAGATGTCTTATTACAGAACTATGCCAGAGTATAGTGGGCATAGGGTGCATGGTTACGTGAGGGGCCAGAATTTTGTGGGAATACTCTTCGAATTAAGTGATTGTCAGATCGATGACGGAGCTTTTCATTTCACATCACTTTCTACTTTTTGTCGGTTGCTTAAACATCTCATTTATGTTGGTAGGAGAAGATGAAGATTCGCAGCACATGCTGGAGACATGGGAATCAGATGAAATACGCAGCATTTGTCAGTCTGACAAGTGTGTCCCAATCAAGATAGCAGCAAACAGGTGCTAATGTAGTTCTTGCATGTGATGTCTTGTCTGTGATTTTGCTGATTTTTTTCTATTGATGTTGGATTGTTGTCCACTATTTCCCCCACAGCATGCCTCCCTCATTAAATTCTCTTCTATTTTCTTACAGCCCAACAAGTGAGCAGTTTGCAGCCATCTGTATCCTTGATTTAGTCATAAGATGTATAAATAATCATATTACTATATAGTTCAAGAGCAAAAATATTAATATTACATTCCATTACTCCAACTGTATTGGTTCAGATTGTGTGGAAATGTTTATCCTTGACATTGTGTTTCTTGTATCAAAGATCCTATCGTGTGTATTCCATCCACATTTGTGATTGGTCAGTCAGGCTTGCCACTAGAGGTCGTTGGGGGCTACCTGCCAGTAGCCGATTTCAGTGAGCGACTTCAAAAAGCATTCAAGGTATATCATGGGGTTGAGCGCTACTGATGCCCCTCTTTTCATGAGCTGTAATGATATTCTGGTCTTGATATGTGTATTTATAATCACAGTGCCAAGAAGAGAAGAAATCGTCCTTAAAAAGTCTATATTTATATCACAATTTGTGATGGTAACATTGCTCTACATGCCTCTGACAGTCAATGCAATATGCAAAACTCCAGAGCATGTACTTCAAAGTACCATGGAATAAGCGAACATTATTCTTCCCAACAAAACATCTATCAAGGAGAGCTAAGAATGCGATTCATGTGTTGTATATCGAACAAAGTAATTCTCTTGCTAGAGGTGAATGTGATAAATGTTATATATATATATATATATATATAATATCTGATATTTGACTCCATTTAACCACTCAAAAAACTACCATCTGTAACAGCTGTTTCAGGGTGAACTGAATCGAACAACCCCGACAGCAGATTTAACACAGCAGCCAGAACAATCAATAGCACAGCCTGGAGATATGGCTGAGCAGCCAGATGATGCAGCATGTCAACAAGGAGCTACCATCGACCAGACAGGTGATACTGAAGGACAGGCAGATGATTCAGCGGAGCAACCAGGGACTGCTGCGGGGACCTCTGGTGAACAGTCCGAGAAGGAGCGACAGGAGAGATTAGAGAGGTAGTGCTGTCATATTGTCACACATGATGTGTTGCATCAATGATCCTGTTAACTCGTTTACCCATTCATTCGTTTATCCATTGAGTTAGTCGGTCAGTCGGTTGGTCAGTCATTCATTTATTCATTCGTTCATCTGTTCAACTTTTGCATTCTTTCACTTGAGTAGTGTGTGTAATTGGCAAGCCTGCATTAAAACTGAATGTCCTTCACCAGTCAGTAATATAACAGGTGCTGAGCTTGATCTATGATATTTGTTAATGCCTGCGCCATGGTTTACTTGCTAGTGTTTGAATAGATTGTGTCGTGTCATTTTTGTGTGTGCTAACAGGGGACTGTGGAAAGGCAAGCCCTCTTGAATGGATAGGTTATTTACGAAGCAGGATGTATAATAAAGGGAACTAATGTCATTCTGCAATTCTGTGCAACTGTCCACAGAGCACAGCAGTTAGTTGAGCAGATTCAAGTCCAGAAACTCCAGAAAGAAAAAGAGGAAGAAAAGCGGAAGGAGATTGAGAGACGTAACGTCGGTAGAGGTGTACAGGTGAGGTTTTGCATAAGCTGGTGTGTACAAGTGATGCGTCATACATGCAGAGTTGTGAAGGTTATGTGTTACATATGCTGGTGTGTGCAGGTGACGTGTCCGATCCAGGGAAGTAAAGGTGATGTGTCACATAGGTACAGGTAAGGTGTCACATAGGTACAGGTGATGTGTCACATAGGTACAGGTAAGGTGTCACATAGGTACAGGTAAGGTGTCACATAGGTACAGGTAAGGTGTCAAACATGTAGAAATATAGCCTTCAGAATAATGTGCACCTTCCTGAGCTGTTGCTTATGTAATTATGTAATGTTTTTTATATGGTGATATAAATATGCTGCTGGTAACAAGTCTTTCTTCTGGTTGTAGCAACTGAGAGCAACGCAGAAAGAGCTGGAAATGAAGAGAGATGCCGAGGAGCGGAAAAAAGACAAACAGGAGGAGCGGGTGGCTCGTGAGCGGATCCGACAACAGATAGCCGAGGACAGGTACTGCTCCCATCACATCGAATAACCAAAACATCCGCCTAATGACGATTTCGTCATTCATCACAGTTTTCGACATTTTATCACCGAGGGATCGCTTGCTCCGTGCACACGAATCCGGGACATGTGTGGGGAGCGCGTGGCGTACACTATACATACATGACGCTGTCAGGAGGCAGGTGTATTCAAGTTGATGCATGTTTACCTTGACAGGGCAGATAAAACTGCAAGGTTTCAGCAGATGGCCCAGGACAGGGAGACAGAGGCACAGGATGCTAAACGCAGGAAGCTGCAGGAGGAGCAAAAGGCCGCAGCAGCACGCAATGCCGCCAGCAGGTAAATAGCCACACCCGTTACACACCTGTGAACATGTATGTACAGGTGGGATTTCATACTGTGTGCTGTTACAATTCCATGCTGATACATATCTAATGTAACTATTTATAACTATGCACACGTGTAATATCGTGATGTTTACACATGCACGGTTTTACTATCATCGTGTCCCCCTGTACACACATACAGACACAGATATGTAGCATGCAGGGTTATTAAAGCTAACTGCTTGTCTTACGATGCAGTAACTCTGCCAGGCTGCAGTTCCGGTTGCCAGATGGAGGTTACCTGACACACACGTTTGCTGCTGGAGACAGGTTTCAGGAGGCAGTTGACTACGTTAGACAGGTATGTGATTGCATGCACACGCACACACACACGCGCACACGCACGCACGCACGCACGCACGCACTCACGTGCACACACACACACACACGCGCGTGTACACACACGCACATGCACGCACACATACACACGCACGCACACACGCACATGCACGCACACATACACGCACGCACGCACGCACACACACATCACATTAGCTGTTGAGCACTTCTTCCCAAACTTGCGTTTTACTCCTGTTTGCATTTGCAGGAGGTTGGAAACAAGTATGGCAAGTACGTCTTGAAGATGAGTTTCCCCAAGCGAGATTTCCAGCCAAGCGACTATTCCCAGACGATGAGAGACCTGGAGTTAGCCCCCTCTGCAGTCCTGTTGCTGGTACCTGTGAGTGCACTCAATGTTCGTTAATTACGGCATGTTTTAATCAGTCTGTTGAATACTTTTACGAGACGTAGCTAGACGTTGTGACTGGCTGCTGATCATGTCAGGAGCGAAATAAAAACGTATGCAAAAACAATTTGTTTTTATTCACTGCTGCTGATACCAAGAGCGCATTAAGTATGCAAGTATTAAGTATTAAGCATACTTAATACGCTCTTGATCATGTGTATATAGATCACCCATGATGGCTGAATGCAATTCTGTCACGTCTTTAGGGTGCACAGAGGAACGTGTTGCCAGCGAGGGCCACTGGTGATGGAAGTTTCTTCTGGATGGTGCTTGCTCCTTTCTTTGCAATCTTCAACTTCATGCGAAGGCTGGTGTTCGGGGACTCCCCTCCACCGACGCCACCTAGTGACACCATTCCAGCAGGCAGAGTAAATGTCCCAACAGATAGGTAAGTAGAATAAGAGAAGGTGAAATAACAGTCTTAGGGAAAATGAGTTTCATTCAATGCATTCGCGTCGTCAATGAAAGGAACTGCGTTATTCGTGTTTGACCAGATTGCACTTTGTTTTTCAGTGATCGTAGGAGGGTGCCAACCTCTGCTTACAGCACCTACAGGGAGGGTAACTTGACAAGGTTACGTAACGTGGAGGGCGATGATGATGACGGCAGCACCTGGAATGGCAACTCCACGCAGCAGCTGTGAGGCCGTTATGGACGCGTGAGGTGAAGTGATGCGTACTGACTAGCTCTCCCATGCTGCACTGGTTTTGCAGAGAGACCGTGAGGGATGAATGCAACAAGAGATGAAATGTGGATCCCGATTGAATCATACTCTCGTGCTTCTCAGTAGCTTGTTGCATCCGCTCCAGGTGGCTAAGTCGAACGGCCGTGTCTAGTACAATGACGAGTGTACACTATCGTAACCACTGCTGTGTTGATAGACAGAGATGTAGAGGGCAGCACCTGCGGTCTGTACGTTATTGGTAGCATGGTCAGTCACTGGTGGCAGTGTCATGTTATCCTGACCTCCGTGAGAAAACTGGCAGAGGCAATCAAGTTCAGGTCGCATGCAGTGTGAGCAGTGGCGATTTCTGTGCGATTTCTTTCGTGACATTATATTTTCTATTTGTATTTCAGTCTTCATCGTGCCATTAAACGAACGGCGTAATATTGTAATATGTGTGAAAGGCTGTGTGTAGTATTTCTTAATGCTATAACACGGGTTGAGTATGAATTTTACGGTTGCTTCCTTTTATGTCACTGGAAACTGCATGCACAGATTAATAAACAACCATGTACTGCTTGCTAGACGAGACAATTTAACTGTATCAGTCTTTTCATATACTGTGTAAAAACACAACACGAGCAAACAAACAAATCAACGAGCATAAGTCATCTGTACTAGTAAATAAACTGTAATTTTATTACAGCAATAATTTCCATAATAATTACCAGCAAAAACTTGTACTAGAAATATTAAAATTTGAAACTTGTAATGCGGTCACACACCGTTACACGACCACCACTATCCCACGCCTTCTTTCCACTCCCAGTGTCCAAAAATATACGTCTGCCTGCGATTAACACGCGGATGTGTAGTCATGGCGACGGACACGGGGAGTCTGCCCCAACTGTCACGGCACTGCCTGGAGTGCGGGTTCGTCCCCGGGCCCCACACCACGTAGGCACACATTCGCGTGTGCACCTCGATGTGCCACCTGCCTGCTGTCGGCGCCAGTTCGTATGCCGACACTAACGTGGGAATCGTTGCAGTAGTGGCGCCACCTGAGCGCAGATCACAGCAGCCCTCCTCGCTGCAATGTGCACACCACCTTTACACACCCTGTGGAAGATCGCCCGACAAACCGCCAGCAGTCTCACCACTTTGACATTGACCTTGTGAGACGAATTTAACGAGGCAGAGTCGCCGACGGCAAACCTGCTGGGAGATTTCGCGGACGATCTTTCTCAATACACCCAACGGTATCTATAGATAAAATTAAATTCTGATATGTATGTAAACCTACCATCAACATGAAACTCTACCACCGGTATTCGACAAAATAATATCAATGGAGATCTGGTAACCCTTTTCCTCTACTCTCTCGTAACCACGGTAACCATGCGCTGAGATTCGAACACGTATCAAACTCAATTATTCAAATGGAATTTCGCACTGTGCGTGTTTTGGCTGATGCTTAGCGCGCGGTCACGCCGGTTCTCAATCAACCTGTCCACAAGTCAACTGCCCCGCGCGACTCCTGCGCCTCCTGGAACGCCAGGAGCCGAGTCGGGTTGGACAGCGCTCATACCTCATGGGGCCAACATGTTGGTTTGCGACAAACCTGTGCGTAACACTGAGAAATGCATAGAAAAAGGACATTATTAAAACCCTGTAGATCAACGTCGCTAGATGCAGATATATCGTATGCCCTACAAAAATAACACGGAATGCTCTTAATGCGGGTCGCCCCCGTAGCGACGACCCAAACACTTCAGTTGAATTGGTTTGCAATACTTTCTTACTGGCAGCGTCTTGAAGGCCACCAAATTGAAGCGCCACCCATATATGTTTCCAGTGAACTAACAGGTGTTTTGTTTGTGAAAACTTTGCACAAGTCTGAGGTTAATACAGCAATTTGAGCCCAAGATATATAGCAGTGTGGCGAGGTAAAAACAGGATACAATATTAAAACCTTTTATCTAATTTTCCTGCACAGTAAAAATCCACATATATACACAAGAGTGCTTGATGTACAGTTGTGTCTTGGTCAGTGATCATCAACTCAAAACAATTACAATGGTTAATTTACATGAAATTCTGCAGAAATCTAGCAAACACTGATCTCAAACAAAGCCCGGAATGTGTAGGCCGCCTGCCATGACACACCGTCTTTCAAGTGTGCAGTCAAGTTACTAGTTCTTCACCCATTCACTAGGTGGCCAATAGGATTGTGATATAGATGCAGATATAAATAGTTATTATCTACATCTACGGTTGGTACAGTAGGATTGTAGCATAGATGTAACGACAAGCACTACTATCAACGATCTGACACTGATCTTTATGTAAAAACTGGATAGCAAGTTCTCCTATTACTGCACCATAGCAGACGAGCTCACTTGTCAGCCATATTGGTCGGCCAAGAATCAGTTTATTAGTAATGTGCACTGGAACAATGTGCACTGGAACAATGTCCAACGTTCTCACTGCCAATTCCTACCAAGAACTAGACTTTTTGGGGCGGCCAACATAGCGTACAAGTGACATCACACATCCCTCACAATGTCTTATCCAGTTTTTATATATAGACCAGTCTGTTCTGATAAGAAATTCATTTACAACACTTACAAATGTGGCACACCGTATGAAGAGTCAGAACGGCAAACATGAGTGAATACACATACACACTGTCTAGTTATCTATCAAATTTTACAACAAACGTATTAAATAAATTTCATATTGTTTACTGCGAGAACGATTTTTCAAAGGTGGTATTGTAGCTCACAGGGGGTGTGGTTAATCCAATCACAGAGCACAGGAAACGCACACGGACACACTACCTGCATCCATATACATCTATTGCAAATTCAAAAGAAAAAAGATATCATACAAACACTAAATAAATAAACAGGTCCTCTCACTGAACGCAACAAGGAGAACCCAACAACTGCAAACGGCCACGAAATATTGCCTGTCTAAATTAATCGCATTCCCTACAATTCCATTAGACGAACCCCCACAGTAGGTGTGCAATCAGGCACGACAGATCCCCGATGTGTAATTCAACGTATATAAACAAATAACAGACTTAGCATAATAACAACTAATAACTTATATAACCCTAAACCATGAAAACACAAGTCACAAGCTGGCACTAGCAGCTGAAGCTTGCAACTTTACACTGTGCGTTTCAGCTATATGACAACGATTGCACAAACAACTGTTTAATCGATCCTTGCCATCAGCGGCCAACAAGGGATACCACCCAAATACCCCGTCACGACAGCGCAGCAGCGCCAAATCCACGTTCTACCTTCAAAATGTTCCAAGCTTGACACGACACGAGGAAGAACCCTTCGTTCTGTGGCGCCACCTATACTCTATCACAACTGCTGTTCTCGTCACAGGTGGCGCCACGGTTATCACATGTCTTCCTTGTATCCACAGCCATCGACAAACACACTCGGCAAGCGAGTCATCACCAGACAGCGCACCTCGCAGTGGCCACGAAGGGTGCACACACCACGTATGAGCTACCACTGCTAAGTGTGTATACACAGACTGGAGCCACTGAGAAGTTATCATGGTCAACCATTAGCAGATCCAATCCAATCGCCAATAGGACATAATTTATAAGGAAATGGTCAACCGAACTTGCTGCTGAGGTGTGCCGCTCCATGGCCCATCACACTGCTCACCGATTCCTTCATAACACACATAGTTGATTAGAACAGATAGTTATATTAAATAGGTCACGGAAAACTATGAACATGCTCTGAAACTAGGCCGACTGAACTCTCGAATAGCTGACTATTATGAACGTACCATTAAGACGGCGCAAACTGATCATGGCAGCGTTCCAGCCCTGGAGGGGTCGCACATCCCTGAGAGGGGGTGGGGATCCTCGCATGACAACCCGACGTACCCCCGGGCCCTCTGCGACCCAGTCACACATGCATAGGGCGGAGCGGGTACATGAACCTGAAGCAGCGGGATTCCCCCTGCAACAGTCCAGTTTGCCACGCCTTTTCTCGCGTAAGTGACTTCAAGATAAAACTAATCTACATTCCATGTTCAGTAAAAATGCTAAACGGCAGCGTAAAAACTAGCACAACGCGGGCTTGCGTTGCCTAATGACCAATTTTAGTCTCTATCTACCATCCACGACAACAGCCACAATGGTAAACGGGAAAAACCTAAGAATTATAATATAATGTACATCCACACAGAGTATTATCTCAATACAAAATCCCATGAAACCTCGTGACTGCGAATCTAAATATTTATGCAGTTCATCGTCATCCCACGTTGTGTTCGTTGCACTCTGGTCAATCATGTCATACCGTGGTAACCGGGGCCTACAATACAATTGGCGTAATACAACGTGCACAGGCCACACCAGGCCTGCGAGTGTTTCTCGCTCTGACACACGTCATACCGTGTTCTACAAATCTCCTCATCCTGATTATTGTTATCATTATTATTATGATCACACTATGGACGCCGACGGCTAGATGCAAAGTGCAATAAATAATCGCCTTACTAAGGTAATGACTAACACTAACTGCGAGTAAGTAACCACCGAACATAGGTCGCAGCATAATAGACCACGGAAACATAGGCCGAGCAATACAGGCCACAGCACCCAGGCGGTGGAACACGCTTAATAGGTAGCTACAGAACGCAGCAGGTAGTGGTTAACCGCATGACACTAGAAAATGGTTAACCACGCAACACAAATTTTGGCCGCCAGGAAAACGTCTAACTACGGGTTAACAGCACATTAGTAGAACAAAAATCGACTGAGTTTTTGCATCAATGAAAACGAATATAGGCCTGAGATATCAAGTCTTGATGTGCTACAGTGATACACTGTTTACGTTTAGTCTCATAAACTTGCTAAGTGTTACGAGACGTAAGTAGTAGGCAATGGCTGTAGGTCGCGTGAAAGCGACCGTCTGTCCTAGGTGCTGGTCATTTGAGAGCCTCAGTCCATCTAACGACCTGTCATGTGGGACATCAGTCCATCGTACGACCAACAACCGCGTAGTGTGATTCCACACAATGACGATCCACCGTGAGACTGTCATCACCGGGCAACCGTGGTCGATCTGATTAGAAATAACAGTCCAAATGTGTCCAGCGTGAGACGAAAGATGTATGAGCATAGGGGCATGGATGGGAGAAGGCAGGGGCCGGTGCTACATGGACCTTGAAAGAACATGGGGATGCAATATGAGATGTGATATGCGACACTTGCGTAGACACCTAAACGGGAAATGAAAGGAGCAATGCGACTAGTTTGGACATGGGGGGTTGGAGATGAGAGGAATTTTGATAACTGGAACTATACGAGGCTCATTGCCCACACGCGACAAAACAACCTGACCGACGGCTAGAATTATGGTCTAAATTCAATCTGGATTTCGCTGACCCAATCAGTGACGACGGATCGATGTACAAAATTACAAAATACCATGCATTAGTGCCTAGCAAGGACGTGAGCCTTACATGCACACAGCAAAATGCCTGCGCAACAAGGAGAGTGCTCCCATATACCTGTACAGTAAGGCTGGCACCTCGATCCTATACCTGTACAGTAAGGACAGTGCCCTCTATACCTGTACAGTAAGGACAGTATCTCCTATACCTGTACAGTAAGGACAGTACCCCCTATACCTGTACAGTAAGGACAGTATCTCCTATACCTGCACAGCAAGGCTGGCACCTCCTACACCTGCACAGAAAGGCTGGCACCTCCTATACCTGCACAGAAAGGACAGCACCCCCTCTACATGCACAGCAAGGACAGTGCCCTGCTACAACTATGGCAAGAAATCTGCACTAGATACTTTACAAAAATAGCAATGCAGTAGACGTGATCTGAGCGAAGTCTAAAGCGCTACGATTGACATTGGCACAAATATGACAGCCTGGAAATATCGTGTCTATACTCACGTGGCAGGAAAGGCCCTGCCTAACCCACGTAGCAAACACCCTGCACCCACCCCCATAGGAAACACCCCGTCCTGCCAATGTAGCGAATACCCAGCCCCGCCTATGTAGCGAATACCCAGCCCCACCCGATAAGCACATATTCTGTCCAACCACGTAGGAGAACACAGCACACTCTAGCTTAGCACACTCGCATCAATATATTGCTTAGCCACTGAGACCAGGCTCTATAAACTACAGCTCCCCATAACGTCTTAATCACGAACTATGAGTTTAATAATTCATTAATATCTAGGATTTAGCACACTTAAATATAACAGCTCGCTTGTGGGGCAGTGGCGCTAAGCCACCCTGCTGGCTAGCTGCCTGCTCCCTCAGCAGCCCAAACATATGTCTACTACAATCCATGAATGCATATACAATGAGATAAATGCTACAACCCTCCAACTACGATACAATTAAGCAAACTTCAAACATCCACTAGGAGTCCTGTGTCGATGCAGGCCAAACATTGATTGTGCATGATGCACTCAAAATACAAAGCCACGGAACGTGCAAAAAAAATTAATGCATTTTAAATAGTTAGATCACATCGTAGTATGAATTTTTTTACAACCGTCAATAAATACAGTGATAATGAACAACCATAACATAAACGACTACTTGCGCCTTCAAAGCTGCAGATCAGAAGCGAGGGATGCTGTGCTGCGGCAGCTTCCTCGTCTCACCGTGTCTCATCGGATAATAAAGCTCGGTAACTAGCAACCAGTATCTACCCCAGCCACGCTCCTCAACGATAGTGGTAGCTGGGAAGCTAGCAGGGCAAGGTAGGCGTGGCATGAGTGAGGCCAGACATCACACACTCTGGTGGAAGGGCCGGCAGTGCATGCAGACTGCAGAATGCAGAAACCATCATCAATCATTCTCCACCATCCGGGATCAACGATTTAGCACGACTGGCCGGCCAGCCAACCCTCACCTCACCACAGCCGTCTTACCATGCAGAATTAAAACTATAGGCCATTTTGCATATAAACTCTTCCTACAAACAATGGCACCAGTGTGAAATATATAAAGAACGTCTTGCACGAACGACATCCTGGCAACCCAACGTTTAACGGGCACCTGTAACTATAAACTCGTAAGACACTTACTCACTACAACGACACAGCTGGCCACCATACATCGCGACAGCCGCCGCCGCCGCGTTCAAACCCAATCAAATTAGGCCATACGTTCGAGATTGCTTGTTAAACAGAAATACACTGTTTCATCATTATGCACAATGCGCAAGCACTGTGACTAACATTCGCTAGCACGAGGAAATATTGTGACTGTCACAGTTTGATGACAAGACAGATGCGCACGTGCAGTAGCCACGTGATCACAAGCTGCGTCACAACTCCAGCCACCTCTACATCCATTATGTCAGTCTCTACTCAATTGCGCATTCTCGTAGAACCAGTAAACATTAAATAATTTACTATAAATATCACACTAAGTACCTTAACCATTAAATTAAAGAATGATAAACAGTCTCGGTGCCTTTACTCTAGGCGTGGTCTGTCAAGTCTTCATCATTACAACATCAAAATCGTTAACGAATGTCTACCTGCATAATGCCTCAGCAGCAACACAACACCTTTAATGGCAAATGCCGTTGAGGTCGCCACCGACCAAGCACTACCACTAATTAACAACAAACACTGTGGAATGTGACATGTATTAAAGTTCTTTTTAAAAGAATGACTAACCGGTAATCCGTGGAGATCTGTGTCAGAACTAACACTTGCTCTTCATCCTCCTACTCCTCTGCCGCTTTCTCCTACAATGAATGCTCGTGCACTCACTGAAGCATGAGCAGCCAGTGGACAATAGAACTACGATGCAACTCCCCTGAACACATTGCTCGGACTTGTGTTGATATCATGCCAAATCATGCGCGTGTGGCAGTGCGATACAGCACACCAGATCATCATAGGAGATATGATGGCTTCGTTATGCATAGCATCACACGCCACGCCGCGCAACAACAGACACGACGTCAACTAGAAAATTTACACCCACTGTTTTTGCAATGTCAGACAGCATGGTCTCTGCTTCTACGTGCAGCCAAACACGGAAACAACGCTCCACATCTGCAATTATGTACAACAAACATACAAATCCTCTACTACAAAAGCCATAGAAAACTCCCATCAATCCTCCAAGCCGTTCGGCCATAACTGTCACCCTGAGATCACTTGCGCAAAATAAGAGGAGTGCATTTGTTCGTCCACCAGTCGATCCGTCCATCCCACAACAATAAACCTGTGCAGCAATGCAACCTCTATAACCATCATTCTCTTCTGCTAATCACCATACTTCATTGACGCTGCGTATCCAGCCCCTCACGTTAAATTTTACGGTAAAATGACATCCTCTATGGCACCATGTACAGTTATGAACGCTGACTATGTGTGAAACAGTAGGCAAGCGTTGCTGATGTTTCCAAGCAGTCACACACCATGTCAGTGCCCATCACCGTACCACCACGGTTCACATGGTTTTGACACAGTCATGGCCTCAACCAGATCTATCTTGTGAATGCTATTAAGGCTATCTTTCACCTGGGGGCAAAGTCAGACTCAGCAAAGTGTCAGCAAGAGGTTGCAAAGCTGCCTCTCCCTTGATTATGCATGCTGTAGCCAATAGGGAGATGATTATTGGTGCAGAATGCGTATAAACAATTACTAAAGGAAACTGTGCAATAACACTGTGTTAACATAACTGTGTTATCTTGTCTCCCTATGCAATGAAACTAATCTAAATATAGCCTGAGTTTTTTCTCAACCGGGTCTCAAACGTAGAATTATTGAAATAACGTTAAATCTGAATGTCACACATAAACACGCACGCACGCACGCACGCACGCACGCACGCACGCACGCACGCACGCACGCACGTACACACATACAGACCACGCACGAACACAAACACAAACATGCTGGCAGAACTTTACGCCATGCCACAAAAAGCCCACCAGGTCATTACAATGTAGCGCACTAGGCTCGCGTGGCGGCGGGGGCCACGATGCTTCCCTCCTTGCCATCGGACAGCGCAGACGACTCCTCACACTCCTTGAGCACCTCAGCGAATAGTTCCCCGGTCTGCAGCTTGGCGGCGCCGTCCGTGTCGAGAGAGATGCGCGCCTCGGCGACGGGATCGTAGTGGATGGTGGAGAGCAGGGCGCTCCACATGGCCGTGCGCGCACGCCTACACTTCACAGTCAGCTCTCTGATCGCAGCAGCTAGAGCCAGCACATCTGTAACGACGGAAACAACATGAAGACCTCCGATTAACAATGCTACGCGGCCGCAGACGTCGCGCGCGATTGTGAACACAACGTTAACTGCGATTTATTGCAGATTTAATTATTATTAAGAACAATGAATTTCAACCGTAGGGGTGCGCGACCGACAATGACGTCTCTCACCTTTGTCTTGCTGGTTGCTGGGCTGGCCACCGTTGCGGTGCCTATTCTGCGCGTTGGTAATCTCGTCCTTGCGCCGCGCCTCGACGTTCCTGATGCCTTCCATCCAGTCGGCCATGCTGCTGTGAATATTCGGATGCAGCGGAGAGTTGCGCAGCTTCTCCATGCGAGCGGCGAGAGTGACGACCTGCAGGGATTCACAACGCTTGTCAGTACACAGCTGCACTACGCTACACTACGCTACACTACGCTACACTACGCTACACTAATGCTCACACTAACGCACAGCAAGCAGAGTTCTCCCTACAAACCAAGTACAACTCTACAGATCATGTACACAGTGTGTCCTATGCTCACACCACAGTAAGTAGTAAGTAGTAGTTGTACAAGTGTCGAACCGTACAGCGGTCTTCCTACGAATTGCAGAGTGTAAACCAGTATCACTCTCACACAGTAAAGACCTGTCCCTCTCACAGAAGGGGCATGTACAGCCACCACGGTCTTCACACTCGCGGTCAGTGTGTAGCTACGGTGGCTGTGTTACGCGCCGCGGTGAACTGTAGGTGTCGCTGCTTACCCGGGCATGTTCTCTCAGACTGTCGACAATGAGACGGTCGACGCGCGAAGGGTTAGCAGACAGCCGCGGAATCACAGTGTTGTTGGCGCTCGAGATCTTCTTGCCAGGGTTTCTTCTGGCCAGCTCAGCCTCCGTCTGCACAGAATACACCAACAGTGACTAAACTATGCCATCCTCACTGCTTCCTCACTCAGGGGAAACATAACCTAGCACACTTAAACTGCAATCACCTTTGTACATTTCAACAATGGAGCAGAGTGGAACTACAGATGTAGTGATCGTAATCTTAACAATAACAACAATCCTGACCTTCTTCCGCTCTTTCTCCAGATTTTTGAACTGGTCATAGCACTCTTCCAGTCGGATGTGCAGTTCGTTTGAGGGGCCACTGCGTCTACAAGATAGAAACACGCATATGCACACATTAACACTGCAAATATAAGATCAACCCAACGCAACTAATGCCAACATGGCAGAGTTGTACACAACAGGATACCAATGCATTAAAATTCCCAGTGTTTTGTAATATCAAACGAGACTCAATCAGTTGTGAAGTGTGTTTGCGTGCTATCGCCTCTCGTCGCAGACTACTACTACAAACATTGTTTACGACTTACCTCGGCGGTCTCATGCCGAAGAACGGAGTATGGGGCATTCCGAAGAAATGAGGGATTTGCATGTGGGGAGGGAACTCGTAGAACATGTCACCAGATCCAAAGCCCTGCTGCAGTCGTGGGTGGTGGCTGTGATGCTGCCCATGGTGCAGGTAGGGCTCAAACGAGTACATGTCGCAGATGCCGCTGTCTGGGCTGTAGTTGCTTCCCTGCAAAACACCACACGCGATGTTACCGGACGGTCGATGATGCAGCCAGAGCGACAACTAAACATCTACATTGCATGAAACAATAATTTACACTATTCATCTGACTACGGCCACTGTTGATTCACAATTGTCACTTTGTGTACCAGACTAGCATCTTTCTTATATTAAACGATTAACTATTCATCTGAGTAGAATCGCACTGTTGCTGTTGATTCACAGTTATCCCTTAGTATATCAGACTAGCATCTTTCTTATATTAAACGACTGCGCAATCATGAGAGCATCGCTGTATAGCAATGAGCTCAGCGAGGTTGAAGAGCACGACTCCGCATGAGATCGGATCTGGTTAGATACTTACGCTCGGGGACAGCTGCTGTAGGTGGGAAGGGGCGAGATGTGCCGGGAGCTTGCCTGCGGAGGCATGCAGGTACTGCTGCTGGGATGCTAACATCTGCTGTGACAGCTGACTGGGCAGTCCCATGTCTCTCTGTCGCACACTCCTGCCTGCTGGGGACAGACCAGCTGCAAACAACAACCAGCACATAAATACCAACACCAATAACAGCAGTAACCACCACAACAGCTGTGTTCCGAACCAAAGGGTGGCACTCAAACACTATTTGTAACCTCTGCGGTTTAGTGTACCATCACTCACACACCTGAGTAAAACAATTCGACAGTAACGGTCACATCTGGCTGAATTAAAAGAATTAACAACGAGGAGAACAGACACAACTTGCTCATCAGTGCGTCGATTAACGAACACATACCTTCATCAATGTGCGGGTTGTGTATGCCATCGCCGGCAGCGTAGTGTTGCTCCTGCATGTACGCGGTGCGGTCAGCGCTGCCTGCCGTGCTCCTGGCGGCCAGCTGCTGCGTGCGGGCAGCGATCGCCCGCGGCAACCGACTCCCGTTGCTGAAGCCACCCCCTGCCATGCCTGGAGATTCATTTCTGTAGCAACAACGAGCCGATCTTACTCACAATACAACAATCAACAGTAGTGCAATAAGCAGCAGCTGCACAGTCATTCAAGTAAGCTATATAAGTATATTTGCTATATGTACGCCAGAGCCAGAGACAAAAATGACTACGACCAAGGCTGCTTGCAAACTTACTTGATGCTATTTTGGATAGCATTCAGGAAGCCACTGCCCTGACTCTGCATGATGCGCAGTAACTGCTGCTGCTGCTGCTGCTGCTGCAGCCCACTCAGTGCTGCCCCCTGCTGCGGCTGCTGCAAACCATTCCTGAGCACGTCGTTCTGAGATACAGGCGTGCTCGGTCGGGATGATGTACCATAGTTGCCATTGGTTACAACCCGGACGGGCTGCAGCAGGTTGCTACGGTAACCGGCAGTGTTCTCCGATACGCACTCGTCTGCCCAGTGCTGTGCTCGACGCTGAGCCTCCTGCTGCGCCCTCTGTTGGTGACTTGAGTAACCATTAGCACAGTATGGTTTGGTCATGTCGCGCGCAGCCTTTGCCTGATCCAGGTGATCCCCAATGGCCTGCAGATTGTTGTTGCCATAGTAACCTCCGCCGTTACTCAGCGACATGTTATTTATACCCTGTGAAAATGGTTGATTAGCAACAACAGATTAAGCAGTGATAATAATTCTGCGTAATTCTTGCTTCAGATTTCAGGCTGGCAGCTTCCTTCACGAATGCTCTCACCTTCTTTAAAACACACGTTAACTAGCTATTGCAGAGAAATCATGTATTTTCATGACGCCATGCTAAGTTTACACAGTAGAGACTCAATAGTATAAATGATAGGCAATAGCTCAATGCATTAATTCTTGTGTTTACACATCTCTTTCCTACCTGGCGTAAAGTTTCATTATCGATGTCCTTCTGCCAGCTGTCAATGTATTTGAACTTCTCTTTCTGCAAGGGAAAATCATAGCACCGCCAGTCAGCAAGGATTCTTAGCTCTATTAATGTTGCACTATTTTATATGTCCAAAGCACATTTATTTCTATCTTTGCCTCTGTCTCCCCATTTTCTACCTTAAGTTTTATCAGCTAAACATTGTCTTACTCTTTTAATCGGCAGTCTTTATTAAATTGAATCGCAAGGCATGCTGTTACCTGTTCATTAAATACATCGGATAGGGTGTAATTTTGCTCCAGGCTGCCATAGCCGAGTGAGCTGGTGTCAAATTTGTCGAAGCTTTTTGTAGATCCACTGGATGCGGGCGGGGTGCCATCGACACCTGCCGACCATGCACCTCTGTAGTTTGGAGAACTGTAGAAACACACACATAAACAATGATTTACCTAGCTCCTTGCCTTCTGCCTTGACTATAATGACTATAACTACTTCAGAAGTATATATGTCCGTCATTACAGTACTTCACGATGTGAGAAAAACAATACAAAGACACAATTTCCACTACAAAGACAGCCAGCTTTGCATAAGTGACTGATAGCACGTTTACTTACCCGTCAAAGGAGAATACATCCGAGCTCGAACGTGAAGATGGTGTCTCCAGGCTGTCAGATATATTACTCTTCCCGTAAGTCTCCTCCTCTATCAGCTTTGTGACCATGTCATGCTCATCCAGTGTGTAACCTGCATTGTTTAAATGCTTAAATTAACTCTTCGATAGTGAGATACACCTCACTACTCACCAACATAAATACCAATTCACATTACCTCTCAAGGGGAACATTAGTCTAGAATTTGAAAGTACATAATGATACTTGTTCTATAAAAAAGAACATACCCACATTGAAAGCCAATAATAATCGGCATTTTTTAAACAGTAAAACAATGTTTAGGTGTTAGTAAAAATTTACTCTCAATTTAACTGAAAATATGCATTAAACCTAATATTTTTCATTGAATAGCACCACTATATATTTGCATAACAAACCCATCACCCGAATTACATTTATTCAAATCAAAGACAGTGGTGGTAATAAAATCAAGGGCTGAAACAAAAACAAGAAACAATGTCTGCAATTCCTCACCACTACTAAACTCCGACATTGTATCCGCGTCATTGAATCCACAGCCAGCGTGAGATTGTGTCACTCCGCGCGAGGGATTCATCTGTGGTGACACTGATGCTCTACTATTAGACCAGAGGGAGTAGCAATCTGCACCGTGGCTATCCCCATCACGACTGACCTGAGAGTGAGTAATAACATGGAAACTCTTACCACACGGCACTATAGAAAATCGCAGCGAATCATACACGACAGCTTATTCCTCAGCATCATAGTCAGTTAGCCACGTCACAAGCGGTTGGGATAGCATAATAATTAATATGACATGCTCAGTACATGGGAATATTAAAGTGGATCCACACATCTCTCACATGCTCATTATATTTATACTAGACATCTCTTCATCATATTCCAGTCTGACCATACGGTGTGAATATCACCTCAGAAAACTGGCAAACCTGCATAGTCATCATGACTGTACCATCCTACACATAGTCATGACTGTACCATCCTACACATAGTCATGACTGTACCATCTTACAGTTACACATAGTCATGACTGTACCATCCTACACATAGTCATGACTGTACCATCCTACACATAGTCATGACTGTACCATCCTACACATAGTCATGACTGTACCATCCTACAAAGCATCCTCATCTCTCATCCCCAGCTGTTTAGCTGTTGCTAGGCAACCACCCACACCAATAGCTCTGGGACAAATTGGCAACTTACTCCGATAAGAAAGCTCACGATAATAGGCATGCACATAATCAGGAGTTAATAATGACAAATAATAGTGAAAATAATAGTTTGTCATTATTAACTCCTGACATAATGTATACAAGGACAGAGCTGTAGGTAAGAACATATGAATACAAGCATAAACATAACCATAAGAACTTGAATCTAAACAAGCACAAACCTAAGAATCTGTATGTAGACTAGCATACGCTTTTAGATAAGAACATGTACATAGATCACTACATACTCGTACATGTATCAGATCTGCAAGATAAGAACTGTATATCGTCAAAAACGTTAAATTGCATGTCGATTAGAGCTAAAAAATGCTGTTATTAAATTCACTCATACAAACCCAATACAACCCAATACAACCCAAACCCAAAGGGATAGAGACCGAAATAGGTTCAAGGATAGAGAACATGGGTCCCAATAAAACCAATGTCATTTACATCAATATAAATATAATAGGTTAGGGTTATGGTTAGGGTTAGGGTTAGGGTTAGGATTAGGGTTAGGATTAGGGTTAGGGTTAGAATTAGGGTTAGGGTTAGGCACATTGGTTTTATTGGGACCCATGTTCTCTATCCTTGGGCCCAGAAATACATAGCAAAAGTTTGAAATTTACCTCCTGTATCCTTTCAGGATCCATATGAAATAACATAGTTGCCAACTCCATTTCTGCAGTTGCTGGCCAATGGCCAAATTACACCATGTGATTGCCACCTCTCTGCTACACACACATCAGAAGTAGTGGCTACTGCTTACTTACACCACCTCTTTGTCACACACCCATCCAAGCACTGTCTACTGCTTAATCCCATATGACTAACTCTGTGAGCACTGATCAGCTTCCAATGTTCCTTTAGCAACAAGTGTACATGCAGCGCTGGCTCGGATGGGTAGGGTATAAATATTGCATAGTCACATGGGCTGCAAGTATGGTGCAGCTGGCCCTACAATGCACTGCGCTCAGCGCCTACGCTAACAGTACCACTCAGTCTTCAGCGCACATTCTATGTTTACATCCTGTGAACATTACGCAACACTGTAGCCAAGCTGTCTTGAAACGCTACTCACCGCTCGACCGCACACCACAAACTGCTGATGCACGATAAGCGGAGAGCCACACGGCCGCCGTTACATGCACACCGGACTGTCAAGGCCGGTACAGGTCAATGCGTCGCGCGAAAAAGAGAGAAAGAAGAGAGCGAGTGTGTGTACAATCTGCACTCAACAGCTGAGCAGGGATCGATGCTGGATGCACTGACTGTGAACTCAGACTGGCGCAGCACGTGTACATGACTCACGCAGCACACCAGGCTCATCTAACCGACACGGGGTTGGCACATTTACAGATCGTGTTGCGATTGCGCTAGCGTCAAATAAAGACACACGAACGACACGTATGTCGTATGAGAAAAACTACATCGTGTCAACAACAACATTACCATGTTAGCAAGTACATGCATGCGCGCGGGCGTGTGTGTGTGCATGCATGAGTGCGTACATGGGTGAACATAGGTACCTGGCCATATGAGTCCAGTGTACTGAAACCATTCATCTTGTTCTGCTTGTGCTCATGGAGGGGGGCCATCACAGACCGGCTGAGCGATGAGCTTCCGTTGGCAGGGTACGGTTTTCGTGCAAGCCCAACATTCGGCGAAATCTGTCAACAGTAAATCAGAGCCATGCTTATCATTCGTACACGATCACATTGATTACATTTATTACATAACAATAGCATAAACGCATGCATCGTTTTGTTCACACTCATGCAATTTATGATGAGTTGATGGTTGTGTCGACTACTGCGTATACAGTTGCTGATTATTGTCAACCCACCTGCTACTGAAACATCGAGGCTAATAGCAATGCAAATACGTGTCATATGCACTGTACAAGCCACAAATTATGTTTCAATATTTTCCACGGGTTTTCAGTGTGTGTAATTTACCGGCTTTTGTGGGATCACAAACCTGTTTCCAGCTGAGCCATTTGTTCTACGGGTCGATAACACAACCGGCAGAGAGAACAGCCGCGAAACTGTGCCATGTGAAATCACTGCGCAGCAACGAGCGCTACGCCACCATAGACGCTGGCTAGTGTGACAATGATTTGAAAACCGCTATCACGATTACACCACGCTTATGCAAGCTCAAATTACTTATTCCTTCACTAAATTGTTTAAGGTATTAATTACACTAACACAGTCAATAGATTTAACCAACGATTTATATTATATAACAGATACCAGCAGCATTTGGGGGAGCTCTGAATTTACACAAGTTTTATCACGGGTACACTCCTACGTGAATGAAACCAGACTTTGTAAACGCGTCTGGGTAAAAAGTAAAAAAATGTATACAATGACAATACACAATCGGAACACAATGGATGATAAATAAAATACAAGACTATGTTATACAAATCGTCAAAGTCAATAAATGTCGATGGAAATACACAATGAAAATGTGAAAAGACTAGTGATTGTATTTGTTATGGATCACCTTGACTTTACGATGTCCATGCGTTAATATACTAATATGGGTATATACAGTCCTATAGACCGAAGGCCCGATAGACCGAAGGCCCGATAGACTGCAGGTTTATTCGAATACGCAGTGGCTACACGTCCGGAATCGGTCGCTTAGCCTCCAGGCTACGCATCCGGACATCCACTGATGCCGTATTCGAACGTGAATATGCCACACATTTACCGAATAAATCATATGATGCCAATATAAACCATATATATATGCTCTAACCCTAACCCTAACCCTTTGCAATATTCGGTCTATCGGACCTTCGGTCTATAGGGCTGCCCCCACTAATATGTATATATATATATATATATATATATTAGTATATTAATATATGAAGGCCCGTGTTGTATATATCATACTGTCAGGATTTTGACGTACAGAGTTATATATTCTACGTACGATTTTATTTTTAACAAATACATCTACGGTTATCACAAGATAAGGAACCAGCAGCTGCTGATACGGTCTTTCTCTATCAGTCGTGTGAATAACCCAATCTACAAATATTTGATCTTACAAGTTACAGTCAGCACTCTAGAGAGTCACCTTCACGTAACGATAGTCCGAGTATGACTAGAAACTCCCGCAAGCTCCACCCACACAGCAAATCTCTCACAGAGATGTTACGCACTTCAGTAATCACGACGGGCAAGATTTATCCGAAGATACATGGCTAGGCAACAACATACATGTAGCGCTGCTGGCTGCTTACTAGAAGTCTTGATGCGTATCTCACAAAGCGTGTCTGGGAGCAGTGTCAGTTCGCAAAGTTCAGCGCGCATCCTGGACAGGTTTGTGAAAGTGAATGAACTCGCTAGGTATATTGCACCCCGCACACTTGCAATGCTCGTACAATGACACTGGCCAGTCTACGCCATTAACGGCAGGTATTGAGACGGCGTGTTACGTAATATAAACGCACAAGCGAACGGAGACGCATATATAGTCATATAGGATAGGTACCTATATAGGACTCGATTATTAACACCAGGTATAATCACTGTACATACGATCGCACGTGTAATGTACATGTACTCATAGGCATAACGATTACATAAATGTGTGATGTGCATACATGCATCAGCATGGATAGTACCAAGAGCGTAAATAAAGAAGGCGTAACCTTCTTTATACGCTCTTGATAGTACATACACATCATGCACGCAATCACATGAAGTGTGCATTTATGCACAGTCTCACACGTGTGTGATAACCATGCATGTAATCAGGAATGATGTAATCAGGAGTGATGTAATCACCTGAGTTCATGTAAAGAGATAAAACTAGACAGATATATGTTAAAATAAACTCACCTACGATGCATGTATCAAAGTACAAATAATTTCTAATTTATGCAAAAAAAACTGCAAATACAATTTCACAGTTACATGTAATTAGCAAAAATGTATAAACATTCATAATTAATTATAAATGTATAATCATACATTTATGTATATTTAGCTCATCAAAGCACACATCTACTTGTACGTACACAACTACACATGCACACGTACGACTACCATATATATGCATTTCCACAGGTACATACATGTACTCAGCAATTTGCAAGCGTCGTCAAATGCCTATTGCCGAGATCACATGCGTAGTTGCATCATGTACATGTATGCACGAAATCACGTACGTAGCGGAATCATGTGTATGCATCCCCTAAATCATACATGTAGTGACATCACGTACACTTATTTGCTAAATCACATTGTTGCATCATGTACACTGGCACGAAGGGTTGTTGTCATATCAGGTACTACATATATATGTACCCGAGGTAGTTTTAGGTTGTTTAGTATTATGTTTATATTTTTATATGAGGTATGTTTAGGGTTAGGGTTAGGGTTAGAGTTAGAGTTAGAATTAGGGTTAGGGTACACTTCTGTAAGTACAAGTCTGGTACAGGTACACTTTGTGTATACATATATGTACCTCGGGTACATATATGTAGTACCTGATACGACAACGACCCCTTCAGCTGTACACTGTGCAAGAATAATACAATGTAGGCCTACTCAGAGCTCTTCGCCCACAAACGTCTAGACACTGACACGGTGACGCCAACCCACCCACCAACCTGCACGCACGCACGCACACACACAAGCACACACAAAGACATAGATGACACAGGCTTCACGTTATTACCTAGTTTGTGTTGGTTCCTCTGAATTGAAGACTATGCCTCTCTACCACACATATGGCATGGATGATTCTAGGTGAAAATGCTAAAATTAGTCCGTGGTAGCTCCACGCTACAGGCATGCATGAAAAGTGTAGCAGTAGCACTGCACAGCATTGACAAGACCCTCTGTTGTTATTAACTGCCCCAGTCCTTGAATCGAGGCATTCACCCTCACCCAAGGTTCTACGCACTCAGCCAGGCACATGTACTGGATAGACTTGCACTCATCCATAAAGGCATACATGCAAACAGGTCCGACTAACTGCCCTCTCTGTTGGCACAGATCAGCGAACTCAAATTAGCCATGGCAATGTTGGCAGACGTGTCAGCCACCACAGAGCGATCACTTCGCCTGCACAACAGGTTTCTGAATGTTAGTACGGGTGAATATCCTGCTATTCACCTCTGCACTCCTGTCACGCTCACGGCCACAGTATGCGCGCACGTGTACCCACGACGTGTATTACACGTGTCGCTACTAATTTCAATCTAGTCAAATTCACAATAGAAAGGTTAAGCTCACCCATATGTTATATAGCGTACATGGCATGCAATAGAGATTCCCATCTAAACACACTATATGAAATGCGGAACCTTCAGAACATTGCTGATGTTCTAATACAGAAATGTCGGAAATGTAGTCTAAGCAGTATCCAACAATGTTACATGTAATTAATTCTTAATCATTTCCTACGCCACAGTTATCTGTGAACAGCTTCAAAATTTCTCTCTACATCACTGTGAGTGATGAGACGGTTCTAACTTCTATGCACAATTTCTGACACAGTAGCGAACCCTTGCAAATCTCTCGGGATGCCTCTGCATGGAGTTACAAAATTCTTCCCTGACTGTGATGATGAGCAATAACAATCAATACATATAAGCAGGAGTGTATAGTATAGACTATAATACAATCTATATTATACACTCCTGATATAAGTACATATATTTTATCATACAAACCGTTGACTAGTGACCACGTTAAGTCGTTAATAGGATACTAGGTGTTAGTATTAGTATTAATTTTAACTGTGTGAATAAACCTTGTTGCCAATTCCCAGTCAGTCATGCAACAAAAGTTCATTTGTTTTCACATTTCACCTTCAATACTCCTACCATGCACTTCCTATACTGGCATTGTGCAAAGGGTTTTTAGTAGCTGCCACTCAAATAGTAAGGATTTTGTACATAAATTATGTATACAAATAATAACGATAATAACAACAGTTTTAAGCCCATTCACTTGAAGATATGCTACATTTTTTTTGAATTACTGTAAAAATTTGATTAGAAAAACATCAGTAAAAACCTAGGAATGCATGAATCAACTGCTGGAGATTCGTATGTTGCGAGGAGTGCTACCATGTAAACAAACACAGTCAGTCTCGCCATAGTTCTAATATAATATTAGATTATACTGGTGCTCCCTGTACATGTTCCAAAAAATTCAATCTATACTTCATCAAAATTTACATCCTCATGACTTATAGGATTTAACAGTATTTTCCAATTGACTATACATATCACAAATATATCACCAGAACCATCATAAAGCACTTACAGGGTTTCTTATACATAAGAGGCACAGTGGCGCACCGCCGTTGTGAAAATGCTCCTGTATTTATTTACCCGCCGTTGTCAAAATAGTGTCAACCCCCAAAAAAATAGATCACCACGTGCTTCTGGCATATTTAGATTGCCATGTGCATTTACTGAGTCATGTGGTGCGGAGTCTACACTTTTCCTACAGCCTACGGCACACTTTATACTTATCCTTGAATCCATCATGCGTGTTTTTTCCCAAACCACCCCAAAGACCATAATTAGTCATTACTTCCTTTGTCTCATTTTCCCTCAAAAGAAACCCTGACTTAGCGTGTTTACACAATACACACGCTAGACCGAATAGTTCTGTCCCATATAACCTTTTATATATTTTGGTGAGGGTTATTGGGACAGAACGGGGTTCATTGAAATTTCGTGAGATCGCATGCAAAATGCATGCGCTGCGAATGTGGCCCGTACGCCGCTATTGGCGCGAACAAAACCCTACCGTTTCCTTCTACATGGCTTTACCTTGCTACTGATATGTGTATACATTCACTTTAATCGTTATTCACTTCTTAAAAGATTGTTTTTCAGAAACCCGCTTCATTCCACTTTCGTAAATCACATTCGCCATTTACAAACAATCAGAGCGAGTCTATCGATCAGCCCTCCTGCAGCGCCACAGATACAAGCGAGAACCAGGCTATTGTAAGACTTGCTCTGATTGGTATGATTGTTTGGAAATGGCGAATGTGATTTACGAAGTGGAATGAAGTGGGTTTCTGAAAAACAATCTTTTAAGAAGTGTATAACGATTGAAGAGAATGTATACACATCAGTAGCAAGGTAAAGCCATGTAGAAGGGAACGGTAGGGGTTTTTTCGCGCCAATAGCGGCGTACGGGCCGCATTCGCAGCGCATGCATTTTGCATGCGATATCTCACGAAAATTTCAATAAACCCCGTTCTGTCCCAATAACCCTCACCAAAATATAAAAAAGGTTATATGGAACAGAATTATTTGGTCTATACACACACATGAATGCACATAAGTACACACACAATTCAACTTTACCAGACAAGAAATATATCAGTAAAACTGCATTGAGAGACATGTCATCCTGGTCATCAATCCTTAGACACGAGAACAAGATCATTCTGGTTTACTGCCGTGATGGTGACTATGATGCATGACGTGGTTATCACTATGAACGTATCAGAGTTGTCTTCCTACTGCTGAGATGATGTGAAATAAATTTTGATTAAGCACCAACCTCCCGAGATTATTCTTCATAATCAAAGGGCCTTTACCAAAGATGGAGAGCGCCTAACGTTGATTATATTGACGTAACTATACACTATGGATGACAGAAGAAAAACGTTCATTTTACTATAAGGGAGTTCCAGAATCAGGTCACAGAAACAAAATTCCTACATTAGACATTTGAATGAACTAGAAGTAGAATAGCTTCAGATTATGAAAAAAATTAGGACAGAATTTATTGCCAATATTGGTCCAATTGGTTTGATGTCAGGTTGTGTATTGACGTTCGTCTCCTAACCTGGTAGGATTATATGCCATATTCTATGGATATGAACCTCTATTAATGTACTCCTGACATTAGTATTATTAACATATCTATACTAAAGTACTATTTATATAAATATTAGTATTAATTATAATTATTAATTATAATTATGATCAGCGATTACCTGGCGCGGCTGGCGGTAAGTGCAGTTTAGGTGGTCGACGTTTTCACGCTCAGCTTGTTTGAGATTCTGTTTAAAATTGTCAACCTTCTGATATCCTCTGGATGCATCTAGTGCCATCGAATACCCCATTGCTACATCTACACAACTTACATATGGAATCAATCCGTGAAAATTTACAACCAGAAATTTTAGAAAATTTTACGTCAGTCGTCTGCTGGCGCGCGAAGTCATTCGAAACGTCATCCGCATTGTTACTAGTTCCTATCCTCTATACCATGAAAAGAGGAGTCCCAATATTGAGTGATGTCACAGGTTCGTTTCCATTAATCATTATATTTATAAGTTACATAATACATACGATTACGTATATAATATATTTTGTGGGGGGTTTATATAATGTTAATATGCTGGGACTTACGTCACAATGTCTCTTGAATCAAGCTATAGTATGGTTGTCTTAGGGTTCTATAACAAATAATTAAATAAATATATAACCGGCTCAGGGTACAAATGTTCATTATCTACCAAACTACACTTAATTGGACATTTTCGATAATGAAATTATAGTAATTACAGAATTGTATATACTGCCAGTCTTTGTTGTTCTAGTTTATTTACTTTATATCACCTTATACTATCTCATAATTACAAATGATTAAAATAAACACCAATCTTTTTCTTAGTTTTTATTCCTCTCTGGATAATAGTACGGTACTAGCTGTATACTGAAAGCTTTTTTGCTACAACCTAGTGTTGATCTGTTAATTTTGTTTACATTAGACTCTCTTCTCTTTGTTAAGTCCTTGGACTAGGAAGAATATTCTTGATGAGATTGTTGTTCTTGTGAGGCTTGCTGTATTATAACAAAAATGCATAAAAACAATAATATAGTACGACATTTTTATTTCACAACATCTTTGAAATGCTATAATTCCCAAGTCAGTTCTTGTGCAATAGCGAATTTTACTAGAAAAATCCTTTTTAATATCACGATCTTCATTACGGTCTATTACGAGGCTTGAGTACCAAACGTATTAAAACGTTTTTACACATATCCACACGTGTGCAAGCACACATGCACGCCACACACACATACACACTACGAGTGGAACGATGATACAATGAAACAGATGTCGCAGAACTGTCAAAACTCGATACACATTATCATAACATTACTACATCAACAATATTTTACACAGTGCATGTCGATGCTAAAAGATCGGAGTGCAATATGTATCAAATTATTGCAATGCACACGTGTCTCTCTCACGTGATAGCACTGCCAGACTGCCTGATTCTGCTCATCACTGAACGATAAGTGCCAGAACGCTGTAATGTGAGTGGAGTAGGAACAGAACACTCTCCTGTGTGTTCACATCATTGGAACATCCGGAACATGTCAGAGTGTGACAACAACGGGAGGTGTACAGTGCTCCACACGAGGTTTGGTTTCTTCACACAGAAGTGGCAATAGAAGATGATGAAATGAAAGAGAAGCCAGAGGAAGCAGGTAAGGAGAGAGGAGGAGGAAGAGGAGGTGGAGGAGGAGGTGGTGGAGGCGGAGGAAGAGGGAGAAGGAGGGTGACGAAGAAGAAGGAAGAGGATGAGGAGGAGGAGGAGGAGAAGGAGGAGACAGATATACAGCGATTTACTTTGTGGTTGCCTCAAGCGATGTAAAGGATGCAGACTACCCTGTTCTGGGTAAGATGCATTAGCATCCTCTCTACATGGGATAGTTGAGCATGACATCCTGCCGCGCGAGTTCCAGCAACATGGGATCATCGAAGAACTTGTTAATGCTGACATCTTCACTGAGACCCTGCGAGCGGAAAAAACAATGCAAGATGTATTATAACTTCTTCAACGTGGAGTGTGATTCATTGCCGGTTAACATGTTGTAGATGTCCACAGTTATTATGGAGTTATTCGACAAACATAGCCGAACGTCCCGAAAAATCTGATTGCCTGCTCGAGTCGGGTGAATTTAATTCACTGGTTTTATGTAAACAGCATACAGATCAGGCATGGGAATTAGAAATTGTGTTAACGTCCTTATCCCCCACCCACCCCACTCCACTAGTCATTTTTCAGTCCACATCAAAGCCTTGACCAAGGTGATCTACAAAGACAACCATCCAAATACTGCCAGTCCATCAGATTAAGCATAAATGGGTCTAGATGCAGATACAGATGCGGAGATGCAAGTTATGCATTGTATTCACAGCCACTCGGGCCGACCGATTTCAGGCTACCTTTCGTCTCCTCGTCTTGATCATGAACTCTCTCGCGAGATGTGGTGCAGGTTGCGCCTCTAGTGGTCGGATGATGATGCTCTTATCAAGGGGATCTCCCGGTACAATCTGCACACACAGACACACGTGCGTACATGTTAAAAAACAAATAATGTAAAAAGACGCCCGCACACATTCGCACGCATGCACATACGTATGCACGCACACAAGCATGCAAGCACGCACACAAGCACACACACCACATAATTTGTAGCAACCACATTTCATTCATGCCTACACATGCAGGCACGTACGCGGTTATAGAAGAGGACAAAGGCGTACGGGGAAAGGCGAACATACCTGCCAGTGATGGAACACGGAGAGGCAGAACGCCTGACCCTGAGTGTGAGTTCTCAGGTCGACCTCGAACCCGAACGAGTCGATGGCTGGAATGAAAGCCTTGATGGTGTAGAGCGGGGAGCCAGGAACGGGCGCGTCCTGCGTCACGTGACCTCTGAAATGAACATGCAATGATGCGGCAATGAAGTCATCGCTCCAATCACAAGAGACCTATCACTCAACAAACATACATGTAGAACGTATCTGGTACATGCTACTGAATGGTTGAGAATCGATGATTAATTACTTATCGACCGGAACAATTATCACTTTTCGAGTTTATAGTTGTTGAATTCAAAGACGTAGCTGCAGTGTTAATGCCGTTTTTTTCACGCGTGACATCATGACACACGGCGGATGGTGTCATGCCTACCTCCGTCGAGCCAGCACTGTGTAGACGGCCGATACGCAATCGGCCGGTGCCAGCACCTCCACAAAGTAGTATGGCTCCATCAAACGTGGCGTTGCCTAAACACAAGTAACAACCGTTACATCCCCAACTACGACAGACGTCAATATTTCAATTAATTACTGCAATGTGTAACAGGGACTGGTACAAAGGTTTTGGCAGACGGCACGTGTAACGACACATATCGTAATTTGTCGATGCGAGGAGAAAATACATACGATTCATAGTACCTAAAATTGTCGTAATCATAAAATCCGACGTCAACGTTATGACGCAACATGAGAAATCAATCCGAAACGTACTTCACTGACACCTAAAAAACAGACTGCAATTAACCCCCCCCTCCACACACACACACTGCGGAGGGTGTACCCACCATAAGGAAGGCGGAGTAGGCGACCCTCCTCGCCGTCGGGATAACCTGACCCCCGCCGCGGTGAATGGGCTCGCCCGCGATCACCGCGTCTAGGATCTTGAACTTGCAGTTGCGGATCGGCTCCTCACATAGCGGCCCCTCGCGCGTCGCCCACTGGAAACCCTGCACTATGCTGTCCTTGACCGTCGCTAGCAAACCCTTGTCCACCTGAGGAGCAATGATGCACGTGCACGCTGGTTAATGCTCGAGGAAACACTGTGCTCGCTGCTACCCTCGCAACGAAACCAGAGACTGTTGTCTATTTATAAATTAAAACAGACAACACGCCTTGGAACGCGACTACACACCACTTCTATATATATAAATTTGTATACTTTGTCTGTCTGCACTCGTATAACTAGAGAACTACGCAGGCTAGAGGAAAACTTAAGATATATACAGAATAAGCATGTCTGGGAGATGGTTCTGGCTGAAACAAACATTTAAAAAAGTTAAGTTAAACATTGAAAAATAATTCTATACGTTAATAGATGGCGGTGCGTACAGCTTAACATTTTGGATGTCTCAATGATACTCTGAAAGTATGATTCCTCAGCGGTCCAACGAATAAGGCATCGGTCTCCTAAACCGGGGATTTCAAGTCCCACCTGGGGGAATATTTTGTTTCTTTACTTTTTGACTGTTTAGTATGTACTTCTGCCACTTCACCGTAAATTTCAAAATTTACAAAATTTTACTGCATTTAAAAGTTTAGTAAAAATCGAGAATAAACTATGGTAGATGATAATAATAGCTCAAACTGACGGGACGACTTCACGGAAGCCTATGTAGGTTACAGATCAAATATATTTTAATTACTTTTCAAACTCAACAACTTTATACATGTAGAAGTAACAAATCTTCTAATACATATTTGTAAATGTGCCTCTGTTTGTCTGTTCTCGATGCAAATCAAGAACTGTGTAGGTATTGTTTTCCATTATTATTTATTATTTTTAAAGTATTATCCCTAATCTCTCAAATGTCTCCTTCAAAGGTGCCATCTACCATCATTTTTATGAAAGAATTTTGGCAGCACTATGCCATTGTTTCAGTCATTAAAATATATAGATGCACTACTTGCCCTGGTGTAATTTATCGTGCAGCGGGATTGCAAATCCACAATCTAGACTAACTAGTACATACATAATTAGATACATAACTAGATAGATAGATAGATAGATAGATAGATAGATAGATATATATATAGATATATAGATACATAGATACATAGATAGATACATAGATAGATGCATAGATAGATAGATACATAGATAGACACATACATATATACATAGATACATAGATAAATAGATATATAGATAGATATTTTTTGGGTATTTCTCTTTCAACCTAGTGGTCACCAACTGTGCACTTCATTTCCCGAGCAACGTCGGGTGTCTTGCTAGTTTACGATATAATAAGGGGAATCTGTCGGCATGTAGAGCTAATCGTTAAGCATCGGTTGTCATAACTAACTGATAAGTTACTTTACAGGGATGAGAATGGGTTAAGAAAGAACCTGAAACCAAAAATGCATAAAAGATTTGTAATGTGCTTGCTGGTGTGGGTATGGGAAGGGGATGGGGTAAAAGTAAAATGAATGTTGTGATGCATTTTGGAGTGATCCATGCATCAATGATCGTACAGAGTACTACTGCCCTCGTTTGGACACAGACGCCCTAGAAATGTGCGTCAAGAGTGGCGCCACCTTGTTTTGAGAGTGTACGAACCTCGGACGGCAGCGTGTCATCGACAAGAATGTTGGGACCGGTGACGTCAGGACCGAACGCCCAGATAGAGCGCGCCGCTAGCAGATCCCAGTCGTACTTCGTCTGGAAGAACTCTCCCAACCGCTTCCTGCAATCACCGTGGTAACGACATGACCAAACAATAGTAAGTGTTGGCTCCTAGTTTACCAGATTCATAGTTAACTTGCGGTTTAAACTCTCAACTAAATATGGTAGCAACGTGTGAGATTCATAATCATGATTGAGACACATAAAGATGTAGAACAGCAAAATCGTATACTCTGCACCTAATAATAATAATAATAATAATATTTATTGATTTATATTGCGCACGTTACATGCAGATATGTTCACGTGCGCATTACAAAGGATGATTATAAAACAGCGGACTGCAACACTGTAAAATATAGATACTTAAATTACGACAATCCTATAACAATTCCTGATTATAAATTCAACCACAAACCTATTCATCTATACACGGCATACAAATATGTGCTACTAAACTAACATACGGGGTCAGATTACACGATATCACCATTTAATTACGATCTAGACACAAACCTAGCATTCGCCAGCCACTAATGTAACCTGGCATGGTACATGCATGCTACCAATAAGACACTAACACACCTGTTCCAGCCAATTTGCACGACTTCATTTTCTATGTCTTCGGCCAGACCTTTCTCCAGCGGTTCGGCTATCATCGTCACCTTGTTCCTGAAAACACCGTAAACACAGCAGGCTTTATAACACATGCTTAGAACGTCGCTGCTGAACGTGAGGGTAGATGATGAAAACAAGCAAGATCATGGGTATTACCTAAATCTAAAGGGTGAATCTATATCCAGTGTACACGATTACATTACCGACATCACTCACTTCTTGTTTGGTGTTTCGGCAAAACATTTCAGAGATGACGTCTCGACCACGGTCTCACAGAACGCTACCACGGGATCGGCCACCTTGATGTCTGAAAAACGAGGCAAGGTCGTCGCAGGAAAGTTCCACTGTATTTCATTCACAAATTTATTACATAGATAGGACTCCACTGCATGAATAGCATTCCTGACACATCGGGTAGGATTTCTGCAAACAAAACATCTCGTAGGTGGTCTGATTGTAAGCTACTACTGATAGTGATAAGTAGAGCTTTGGAATTCGACCAGTGGTTCCTATACAAAAGTCTGCACAACTATCGGGTTGTGTGAAAGCCCAGCTCACCGATCTCAGAGTACATCTTGCGCAGATCATGCATTACACAGTCCAAGTATAGCTCTCCCGTTCCCAGAACCACGTGTTCTCCAGACTCCTCCACCTGTGCAAGAGAGCAGCACTAGAACACAGCTCACAAACTGCCATGAGCGCATTATACATAAATTGTCGAGCATGTAAATTGTAATATCGAAATGAGAATGGTTTGTGTTTTAACTTCTGCAACAATGCATCTTAAAGGTCTGAAAACAGTGTGGAGACAGTAACACAGTGTGGTTCTTGTATTTTGACGATCATACCTTTGTGTTCAGCAGCGGATAGGACTTGTTCACCTTCCGCAGTCCATCCAGCATCTTGGGAAGCTCTGAAGGGTTCACGGGTTCACAGGCAATCTTAATCACCGAGCTCGTGTTGAACTTGAGTGGCTTGAAGATGTACGCCTGCAACATGCAGCATTATGTAAGCCCCGTAACGGAAACCTCCGCGCGTGATGTCAACGCACACCTTCGCTTTAACAGGCTCATGACTTTCACCCGCATATAATATATGTGTATATATATATATATATCTCTTTATATATATATATATATATATATATATATATATATAATAACGCAGCACTGTACCTGGTCATTGCCGGACACCTCTGTGATGGTGCAGGTCTTCACGACCGGCTGGTCAATTCCCTCAATGAGCACCCAGTTCCCTGCAGGCGCTCTGTTCACCTCCACCTTATACCTGTCAGCCAGGATAAGTCAATCATGCGGTCATAACGCGCGGTGATGCTTGTAATAGCTGTAGGAGTGATTCATTCCTGCAGCTATGTAACAATCATTTCAATTTCAATTTAAAGTTTTAAATTGTCTGGCTATGCACGGTTTAGTTCGTGCTTACAGGTCACACTGCGCAGGCCGTGCCCTTCAACGTTAAAATAAAAAACGCGTGGCACGTCGTTTCTAAGATCCAAGGACTGTAGTTCCCCATACTACTGGGAGTGTATAATACAGACTATTATACACTATCTGTATTATACACTCCTGATATTACTACACAGTGTCTCCACGTTCGACTCTCCATCCGAAATCCACAGTGAGGTCGAGAGAGGATGCTGCAGCCCGCAAAATCCGAAGTGAGATCGTGAGAGAGGACGCCGGTGCCCATACCTAGCCTCGGATATCCACAGTCTGCCGGCCTGCAGCACGCGCGAGTCTTCCTCGTCCTGGAGGCTGTAGTTCTCCCCGAGGATACGGATCTCCTGGCCGGCGTACAGCGTGCCGGAGAGGATGCGGCCAAACACGTGGAAGGCTGTCGCATCCTGCGTCGGATACTGCTTCGTCGTGTGCACCATGAGGGGACCCTGCAGCGTATAGTATGTATAGTAAAGTATGTATAGTAAAGTATAGTATAGTAAAGTATAGTATAGTATAGTACGTAGTCGAATTGTCGGTGATTTCCGTTAAATGCTCGGAAGTTTAGGCAGTCACCCAGTCGGGAGAATTGATCGAGACTTGATACACGCTGCTATGGTTAGCTCATACACACAACTTAAGC